TTTTCCTTTTTGACCTAGGTTAACTCTAACCAAGATTAATTTCCTGACCTGACACTACAGCAGGAAATCGGTGCAATGGAGGGGCAGTCCCTGGAGAGGACAGAACGGTGTCTCTCAGTGACAATGGTGTTGTGTGTCTGTTAAACTGCCTCGATGCTGAGTGGAGAAGGGAAGGTCAGCATGACCTGCTGGAAACGAACTGTTCTGCACACTTGGCTTGGATTTTCCTCTTTTCTTGACATACGAGCCCTTTGAAAATAACCAGATTCAGGCATAAATTCATGGGCTCCAGCAAAAATTTGCTGGGCAGTGACGCTGCACCCACATCTCTGTGACGAGGGATAGAGAAATCTCGTGTGTCTTTTCCAAGCTGTCAGTGTCACAGTGACACCTCGTTAGCTGAGGCTACTGAGCATTTCGAGCCTAACATTTCATTGTAGTTCTAAATGGTGTCTGTCTTCTAGGCATAAATTTTCAGGCCCTATTTTTCCCCGCCCTGTGCTACTGCTGATGTGACAGGAGAGCCCCTGCCCATGTGAAATGCTGGGATGCTGTTCAGTCTTTAACCTGGTGAGAAGTGCAGGGCTGGACTCACACACTGCTAATAGTTTCCTGGACTGCCTGTCCCAGTCAATTCAATAACTAGCACATAATTGAAAGTAATCTTTAGTGCTCATGTCCATGCTAATATTTGTAGCTCTGGTCCTGCCTAGCGCTGTTGCTCCCCTGCTACAGCTGCCGGTGCTCTGGCTTGGTTTTCTGACACTACAATCTTGAAATAAAGTTGACAAAGCAATTATACACATGAGGAAAGCAGGAATGAGACTGCTGATAGTTGCAATACTACCCAGTAAATCCAGTGTAAGCGGAGATGACTTCTGAGAGAAGCATTTGCATGAACAAGCACTGCCGGTACAGGGTAGCGATGAGATCTTTGTGTGGAAAAGCATGGCAAGCTAATAGGATCTTGGAGAAGAACCACCTTACTTTCAATCAGCTTTTTTCAAAGAACTGTATCTGTTTCATAGCATGTATGTACTTTCAAATACATAGTGTATATAAGGTGAAATACACATGTCACTTAACATGCAAGAGGTGTTCAGAGCCAGGACCTTTCAGATTCAGCGCAAATCTTCCATGACCGTGCTGAGGCTTTTAGTGAGGCTCAAGCATGTCCATGGCTGGTCATCCCTATGTTCAGAGCCACCATTTGATGCTATGAACTTCATCCCACCAGCTTTTTAACAGGCCGGCAAACTCCTGCCAAGAAGCGACTTATTTATGGTCAATAGTGAAATGGCGAGGAACAGTGTGGGGGATGCAGCAGCTGCTGGGCAGTTTGAGCCCAACAGCTGCCTGTGGGCAGGGTGGGCTTTTTGTTAAATCTTTGCAGAAAGCTGACGAGCTCTCTTACTTCCCCTCACTTCCCCCCCCCTTTGTTCCCTTCCCCTTTTCCTCTTTTCCCCTTTTATCCTTCTTTTTTCCTTCCCCCTTTTTTCTTTTTCTGCTTTTTTTCCCCTTCCCCTTCTCTTCTTTTTTCCTTTTCTCCTCCCCCCCGCTCCATTTCCCCCCTTTTTTCTTTCCCCCCCTTTCCCCCTTTTTACTTCCCCCCCTTTGCCCCTTTTTTCTTTCC